TTTTCCCTACAATACGAGAAAAATGATTTCAGTTAGTGCAGCTTGTGATTAGATGAAAGCCCCTATTCTGATCTACTGGGGTAAAAACACGATACACATGCGAAAAGTTGAGCATAAACTGTAAATATACTTCAAGCTGGTGTTTGCATTGTTTTGTGGTATGCCTAGCTGTTATTTGATTGGTAATACACAGAGCTCTGTACTGTAAGCATAAATTACAAAGCACCTGCAGAAAACAGATTCTCGGGCAGAGAAAGTGTAAAATATGATGCCCGTTGACTGTCTTGTTTGAGCTGCACATCGTTCCCCTGCACTCACAAACTTTCCCAGTCATACTGGGGTTAATAATTAATACTAGTGGTACCACATTAATAGATAATGTCATCTTAATAGCAACTATTATTATTAAGGTTTGCACATTGCAGCTCATGTGCTGCTGTTTTTCAACTGGAAAACATCTGGACTTCAGAGATGTCTTGCAATGTATGCACGCCTGCAATACAGCGAGGAGGGCTGCTGTGCATTGGAATGGGAGAAGAATTCTTTAAAAGCTTCAGAGGTGAAAAGCTTCTTTGACGTGACTGTTACGGTGTTAATTTGCAGTGCAGGAAGTTTTTTCAAAACAGCCAGTAATAGGCACATGTCAGAAGAAATGACCAGTCTGTGTGGGGACTGCTATTAGTAATTCTGTTGCTGTCCCTCACCCCCCCTCCAAATACATCCTCCTCCCGCCAGCACTCTAGGGAAGGCAGGAGCCACACACCCACAGGAACAGCAGGTTCCCAAGTGAACGTCAGGGACTGTCCGTATTTTCTTCAGTAATTACATGGATCTGAAGAGCCTGAAAGAGGTTTGATTCCCTGCAACCCACCCCTGTTGATGACGGGACCTCCAGAAACACAACTGACGGACGGTGCCATGTGTGCCTGCAAGCAAGAGGAGCCTGACAAGAGGAGGTGCCCATGTGTCATTTTGGGGAACTCGTCCCTGAAGAGCATTCTCCTCCAGCAGCAGCAAAGCCCCTGCACAGACAGCGTCCCTGGTCTCCAGCGCCTCTTTTGCTGTTGTTTCTTCCAGCAAGTTCCTGGGTATCTAGGAAGCCGCTTCTTTTTTAGGAAGCCACAAAACAGAATGAGCAACTGTTGCGTTATCTCATGATCTGGAGAAAGCTCACCTCATAAAGCGCTACCGGCTCCTCCAGTTCCTAACATTGAAACAAAAATAAAACTTCACAGCTGCCCTTCAAAGAAATTCAAACCAAAGAAGGGCGGGCTGAAATGGTGTGACAAGAGTATTAAGAATTATGTTCACTCACCCACCCTACAGCACACTTGGGACTGTTGCAGCGAGCAGGCTTGGAACTCCCTCCAGGTCGCTTGCTCTTCTTCCATTAGCGCTGATAAATACAAAATATTTCCTAAGAGGCTAAGAAAGTATGAACACTTGCCTGAAAGCAAAAGAGCTCATTTTCTTTTCTTTCCTTTTCCTCTTCCTTTTCCTGTTCCCTGCCTAGCTTGAAGAACATCGCGCTGAGCAGAAAAAGCTCAAGTACCTGCAGAAGAGGCAGGCCCAGATCACCAAGGAGAAGGACCAGCTGCAGAGTGAGCACAGCCGAGCCATCCTCGCCCGCAGCAAGCTCGAGAGCCTGTGCCGGGAGCTCCAGAGGCACAACAAAAACCTCAAGGTGAGAGGTGGCCTTATCAAGGTACCCGGCAGTGGGGGGGAAGAAGATGCCGATGCCTTCCCATCTTGCTCTAGTACCAAATCAAAGGAGCGTTTACATCTGCATGTGCAATATGTAATTATATATATGCTCTAGTCTTGAGGCCAGTACACCAAGACCCTTTATTCCTCGTCTGGAAATATCCAAGTGCTTCTGAGCATTGAGTTTGCCCACATTGGCTGTAAGGCCTTCTCACATTAGCAGGGAGCTCAGCGCAGAGAAAACCAGTGGTGCTAACAGACCAGCTCTGCCAAATTTGCTGTGGCAGGTCGGCCTCTGCCCCCCAGCCAGGCCAGTCACCCGGCACCAGGCTGGGCTGTGAGAAGCGTCCCTGTCACTCCAGCTGTCAGCCTGGCGCCAGCCATGGCTGAAGCTGGAGAGAGGGTGGCGCAGGCACACGTCCCCCTCCTGGGAATGGCAAGCAGGGGCTGAGCAGTGGAGCAGGCAGCTGGGGAAGGGCGTTTTTTTAAGCTATAGCAGCTAGGTCTTCCAGAACATGTCTTCCCAGGTCCCTGAGACTGCAGATGCGGATGTATGTGCGTGGCCAGAATAATAGGAACACCAGCTTTGCTCCAGGAGACTCACAGAAGGCTGGCGGGTGTTTTGATGTAATTTGAGCCCTTGGGCATTTTCAAGTGATCTGTGAGGGTTAGGCAATCAGGACATTTGCCTCAAGACTTCGAGCCTCGAGACAGGAAGAATGCCAACACTGTTTGTGGAAGTCGTTTGGATTACGGGCATCAGTTCTAAAAGGAAATATTCAGGATTGTCAAAAGGCTGGGATCCATATGCCATGTCTGCCTATTGCTTGGTGCATCACACCATTTAAATGTGAAATTCATAATATTATTATGCTTCTTGAAAAAATTTAGGTTCAAGAAGTACATTTCTGTTGTGATCTTCCTTTTTCTCCAAGTGATGGTGGTGGTATTATTATACAAAAAGCTTCTGCTTTGATCTATTCAAGATCCTTCTTTATGGGGATATAGTTATGTATAGAATTACACATATGAATTTTCAGCAGCAAGATTTCACCTGCTATAACCTCTATAAACTGTAAGAATTTTCAGCAGCAAGATTCACCTGCTATAACCTCTATAAACTGTAACGGATTTTCATTCATTTCCACCAGTTCAGGAGTGGGCCTTCAGGGTCTAGCTCTGACTTTCATTGTACGTTGGTAATAATATAGCTGGGAGGGGGAACGGCCACGTATAAACTCAAACTGTGCACTAGTAGAAGGACAAAAGCAGTTTAACAGGTAGTTAAGAAAACTAGAAGCAAATCTCTGTGTGCTCAGTTATAGTAGTGCAAAACTGGTAGTGTCAATTAAATTTGTGCCTGTCATTTGTACCAAAACTGGTGCATATTGAGCTATACCTCACTGTTGATCCACACTGATTTACCAGACCATCTTTGGGCAAAATCTTTCAACAGAAATACAGCTCATTTTAGAGTGATTTAAGAGTACAGTGTACAGTGCTTTGCATAGACTTAACTGAGATTTCTAAAACAAATAAATCATATCAGTGGAACAAATAAGCGGAAACTGGGGTATAGAGAAAAACTGATTATATTTGGAAAACATATTTGGAACAGGTTTTGTTGAATTTCCCAGCTGTCATATGCTTATTAATGTCAATATCAGAGAGCATGGTTTTTCCTTTCTCTTTGCATATAAATACTTCATTACATGTTTCATCTTTACATTTAGGAAAGTCTCTTTCCAACATCTTTCCACTTATTGGACTGTTTTACTTTGGGACTACATCCCCTAAATAAACCTGTCAATTTCAGACTCAGTTCTGATTTTTATCCTGTACCTAGCCAGGTGAGCCAGGAAAGGTACCTGAGCTGATCTTGTAGGAGGAAGAGGTGTTCAAATCTTGGCCACGTCTCTCTAAGAATTTGGAGACCTTTTAAGAAACCCAGAGTACTAGCTTTCCTCTGGTTCCTGTGCTTTCAGTGTAAAAACAAAAGTTAAATAAAACAGTAAGACAAAATATACTTGCAGAATGAAAGAGGATTAAATTAATAAACAAAGGCATTCAATATCTTTATCCAGTTTTGTCTCTCTCAGAATTTTAACATAATTCTTGGAATATTTGCCTTTAAGCTTTAGCTCCTGGACATCTGTGAATCTCCAGAATCTCATCTTCTGTTTATTTAAATGAGTGCAATTTTCTTTCGCTTATGACTGTACTGAGAGGGCCCAAAACAGGAGAATCCATCAAATGTTATTTTTAAAATCTCCTGCTTAAGTCATTTTTATTTTGATTTTGGCAGGACAGAGAAGCTGATTCATAATTTTTTAGCACTTGGGATTAGCACTTCTGATTGTGTTCCAAAGCATGGAAAATAAAAACTGTAGGAGATTGTGTCATTTCAATAGCAAAGGAGAAACCTGGCCTGTCCAGATCACGAACCTCCTCTGACTTGCCATGTGGTACATTACATGCACATCACGTCATGTAAATGTCGTCTTCACTCATCTGGTGTGTGGAATTCCCATTAACTGGAGATGGGTGCAGCCAAGTGGTGATGAATATGCAATGTGGAGCGGAGCTGAAAATCCACAGTGCGGAGCAGAGAAGAAAAATTTGTGGTTAGTATTGGATAGTGGCCTCAAAATTTTACTTACTTACAGTCCAGCTATTCAGATTATTTCCTTGCAGTTACACTTCACAGCAGAAAACAGATGTTTAATTCTCCCTCCAAGAAAAGCAGAATAAATGTTCGTGAAATAGCAGAGTGCGTTCCCACTGCAATAGAGAGTAGCTCTGCTAAGACCAACAGTGACTCATTTCTCTGCATTGTGTTCGTGTTCTGCCAGTTATCTGACAGTTTGGTGGCTACTTGACGTGAACATCTCAGGTCCCTTGTCCTTCCTGCTATCAGGCATTAAGCAATGACTTTCACACAAATGTCACAACAGTCAACAGCTTTGATTGTGGGCTCAGCTCCAAACTGCAGACCTTGAGGCTCAGACCGTGCTTGCCTGGGAATGAGGAGAATGGGTCGTTGAAAATGAGGAGTCCACGCTCATATTGTCTTGGCTGATATGACTTCAGCAGACCAACAGTCTTCTTGACTTGCCCCAGAGAGGAGGACCAGAGACAAACCTGCCCTGCTATTTGCAAATTATCTCACATTCCAGTGATAAATCCCAAACTGCAAAATATCCTTGTCTTAATTTTACAAGGTTTTATTTAATGCATTATTACATTTTTAGCAGTAAAACACGAGAGTGATAGCAGTATTGCAGTAGGACACACGAATATATCTTTGATAGGGTCGATATGGAGCACAAAGATTAAGAAAGGGCAGAGGAAAGGGAACAATAGTTTATGGCTGGACTTTAGTCTTCCACAACTGGAAATCTAAAAAGAATTTACAATGCTTTATTTTTCTCACTAAAAGCAAACACTTAATTTAAAATTATTAAAAGAATGAGCACAGAGTGAAGCAGCTGACAAGGCCAAGCATGGTTTGTGTGTTACGAGTTCACCATGATCATAGAATCAGAGAATCAGAGAATGGTTTGGGTTGGAAGGGACCTTTAAAGATCATCTAGTTCCAAGCCCCACTGCCATGGGCAGGGACATCTTCCACTAGACCGGGTCACTCAAAGCCCCGTCCAAGCTGGCCTTGAATGTTTCCAGGGGTGGGGCATCCACAGCTTCTCTGGGCAACCTGTTCCAGTGCCTCACCACCCTCATAGTAAAGAATTTCTTCCTTATATCTGATCTAAATCTACCCTCTTTTAGTTTAAAGCCATTCCCCCTTGTCCTATCACTACACACCCTTGATGAAGCTGAGAAGTCACCACCGCAAACACCCTCTGCTCCCTACAACCAAGCAAGCCAGGAGCTCTGGACTCGGCACAGCTACTTCAGCCATAACAGCAGTAACACAAAGCAGAAGTCAGTCTTCAAGCCTCCAACTTGTGAGAAAACTTAAGGATCTTACTTTCCACTATGGGGTCTTGAAATGGGAAGGACTAAGGAACCTATTGGAAAAAAGTGCATTCTGTCAGGTTACGGAGACAGGTATAAGCAAAGAGTTGGGGCTGTAGCTTTGTGATAATAAAACCTGGATGATAGTGATGGTTTGGGGTTTGCCAGACTGTGCCTGTCCAGGCGAGGTGGGTGAAGGGGAGCCAACCCTGCAGCCCCGGAGCAGAGCTGGCAGGGAAGCAGGGCTCTGCTGGTGGCACTGTGGGCATCCAGCCCCCTCCCTGGCTCCAGCGCAGGTGCAGCCTCAGCCGTAGGCTTTTCAGCTCGTGAAGGCTCAGGTTTAATGCAGACACCTCCAAAGACCCGTCGCTATTCCCACGGTATTATCAGTAGCACTTAGAGATTGAAACCTCTTTACCCGAGTATACCTTAGGGACAGGGCACCAGCCTGCCGTCAGCCGGGCACTGGCAGCATCGCGGCCAGCTCCATGGCACGGCAGAGCACTGAGGCACAGAGGGGTTTGTTTCCTTGGCGCAGCGAAGAGGCAACGCCTGCAGGCCTCTGCACAGTGCCGTAGCCACACACTCGCCTTTCTGCTCAGTCAGCTCCTCCCACCCACACCCACCCTTAATCTGTAACGGGGATATCGAGGATTTAACAAATCATTGCCATTTTATGAGGGACTCTGAGGAGCTCTCTGGGACACATCCTAGCCCCCTAGGCAAATATCCTCCTCAAATATCTTTTTCTCTGAAGCAGAAGAGGTCAAGAGAAATACCGTGCCCTGCAACTAAATGCTTCCTGGCTCAGTGTCTTTAACCATGAATCTTTGTATTGTCTCTGTGCTCTGTATAATTATTCTACCTCAGAAGCGAGGATGAGCAGGAAATAAGATCCTCTGAGTAACACATGCACTTTTTTTTTTTTTCATTTGCATGATTGCTATTCTCAGGATGTCTCATTTCACCTTGTAACAGAACGCTGTGGTGTGACTTATGCACAATCCACCGATTTTTTATTTTATATTCAGCTGGATTTACTACTTCAGAGAGCTTTAAATCACAGCAGTGACATGTTATAACACCATTTGGTCCACTGAAACAATAAAGTATTTTTGAGGAAGGATGTTTTGAAGCCACAGAATAGGACTCCAGACATGCAAGTTCAGTTTCTCAGTGTCTTTGACTTCTTGAAGTGAAAGCACCTGGTCACCCTTCTCCCTGCTCAGGGCTGCTCCTATACAATGGAGAACAAAGAGGCACGAGCAGTTTTTTAAACAGTGTATTAGAGGTAAAATGGAGTTCTGACTTGACCAAAACTATCTAGGCATTCAAGTTAAATTTGGCAAAGTTTCGAACAAAAATAAAAGGGATGACATTGTTTGTAAACATCCCCTTTCAAAAGAAAATGAAATGTTTTGTTTTGGGAATGCTAAAGCAGTTGATTTAAAACACCTTCTGAGTAGCATTTTAAACTCTGCTTTGGAACAGCATTTCTGTTTCAAAATTGTCCTAAAAAGAGTTAAACAAAAAGTAACTACAAACACAACACAACTCACTTTCTGGTCATCAAAATGTTTCAGGCTAACTCAAAATCATTCTCACCAATTAAAAAAAAAATAATTAGACAGCTTCTCTTTCATCTTGCTGCAAATTTTTCGTGTGTCCAATTTCCAACACAGGTACTGAACCAGGACCCCCCCAAGACATTTGCCCAGCTCCAACTGTAATTCTTTCTTCCTCTTAAGAGGGAGAGTCCTTCTGGGCTCACGCTTTGGTTTACTCTGTTTGTGAGCACACACACATGTTCTTGTGCAAACTGCAGAGCACAGCAGGGCTTCATGGTGATTCCTGTGCACTACGGTATTATTAGCACTATTGGCTCCAATACTTTCCTCCCGTCGTCCAAGGCGTTGTCATCTCTATCGCTCCCCGGTCAGCAAAAGGACAGACGTCCCCTACCTTGAACAGCAGTTGTCCAAGGTCAGGCTCGTGTTGTGCATGCTAAGTAGAAATTGGGTCATTTGGTATTTGTCTTACTTTAAGAGTAGGGCCTGAATCAATACCTTTTATGTCACATTTATGATATTAATTATACCTCATTAGAGTCAGCTAAGGCTTTATTCAAGTATATTTATAGAAAATATCCATATGCAGTGTTATCAGAGATTTTTATGTAAATGACTATGCTAGTTGAAACCTTATTAGAGTATGCCATTTGCATGCTGTGGAGTGGGTTCTTAACGTGGTTCTGGCATGATTTGTAACTACAGCAGATATGGTCCTAGCCGCTGTACGTCAGGATTACATTCCCCAGAAGGGCAGACTGCCCTGGAAGCAAATGAGTAGGGAATAAAAATAGTCCATATTTTGGGATCCAAAGCAATGAATCCAGATTCTTTCTGCATTGTCTTTTACATAAACAAATCCAAAACAGAATTTCAATAATTGGTAAAAAAAAATAAATCCATCGATCTTTCTCCAGGCAAAATTCTGATTCTCTGCTTTGATCCTGTAAGAAACAGCCCACAAGCTTTCCTTGATTCCACTACCTAATAAATTAGTGCAAATGTTGGTGTCAGTTAAAAAGTTAGGGAAGGAAAATTGAGGAACTGGGAGGGATTCTACAGAAAGTGATGGATTTCTTTTGAAGATGAAAATCCCAAAGACCATAAATTTGATATGAGGATTCCTAGTTAAAAGGAGGTATTTTAAAGGGTGATTTTTTTAATTCAATCAAAAAGAATTTCGATAAAAAAGCTTTTGACTACTTCCACTAAATTCTTCTTCCAAAGCGAAAGCTGTGCTGCAGTACCATGAATCAAGACATGCATGTATGTCCCTTTTTCCAGGCTTGCTTTGATCTGAAACTCTGCTCTACATCCATCTTTATAAATGCAAATTCTTAGCTCCCTAATTTTTTCAAGGCCCCTGTGTAATTTGCTCTGTAAATTTAGAATCATGCCTAATGCTGGAGCAGATGAAAGCAAGAAGATCTCCAAAGAGGAATGCAAACATGTATAATCCTTCAAAGGGAAGCCTTATGCTACTCGGAAACAGTATCTTTCTGGAACCGCTTATTATGCATCTTACTTACATGACTGTGTTCTCTCCCATTTAACAACAGGAGGAAACAATTCAGCGGGCACGGGAGGAAGATGAGAAGAGGAAAGAAATAACTAATCATTTCCAGGGCACACTGAGTGAAATCCAGGCTCAGATCGAGCAGCAAAGCGAGAGGAACATGAAGCTCTGCCAGGAGAACACAGAGCTCGCAGAGAAGCTGAAAAGCATCATTGACCAGTACGAGCTGCGGGAAGAGGTGAGAGCAACGCCCTGGCTGCCCGCTGGCACAGGCAGCAAACCCGGCTTCCCTGGGGGAAAGCAGAAAGCATTGCCAGCCTGTCCTCCCCGCTGGCTATCATTCGGGTGTCTTGTGGAGGTAACGAGGGTAGCCCCCACCACTCTTTGCCATCTGAGTGGGACTACGCATGCAGCGAGCCCACGGGACTCCGCGTGGCAAACTCTGCAGGCAAGGAGTTGTGCGGGCCGGCACCCTGCCTGCAGCACCCACGGCAGCCTTGCCGCTGTGGGGAGAGGGGCCGAGGCGCCCAAGCAGCAAGGTGTGCCAGCTGCCTGCTAAGCTGCCCCCCGGCCCCCTCACAGCTCCTCCAAATCCCTGGGGAGCCCCCCAGCACCTCTTTCCTGCTTCGCCCCTCCAAGTCCCCACCAAGCACCTCCCAGCTCCCATCTTTTTGGACAGCCTGCTCTGCTGGTGATGCCAAATACACTTTTGTTCCCTCCAGACACAGGTTGCTGAGAAGGGCTCTGATGTAAATGCTTTGACCTTTCAGAAGCAGAAAATTAAGAAGACAGATAAAGGAGGCCCTTTGCATTGGAATAGATTCTTCTTTGCAGGCACAATGCTCACCATAAGATCTAGCAGATAATAGACAGATGGGAAATTATTTTTTCTGTAAACATTAGAGTTGGTCAGAAAATTTTGACACAAAAAAAACCTCTACAGTAAAATGCCAAACCACCATTTTTTTTTTATTTTATGACAAACACTAACAAATAGCACAATGGGTCTTTTTATTGTTTCTAAATACGTTTATTGTGAGCCTCAGTGCAACCAGACAACATTATCATACTGAATAAAACATAAGTAATCTGTCCTTACAATCTGGAATGCCCGATTCGATACATGCATTTCCAAGTCTGTTGCATCATGTATGAAGTCTTATGCTGAATGAAGGAAATGTACATTCCTGTCTTGTGGTTTCTATGAGAAGAAAATGTAAAGCAGAGGGATGCGCTCAGAATATTTGCTCCTGTGAATTTTATCTAAATGAAGCAAGAGCGAAGAGGGCTATCAGCAACATTTACCTCCTGAAGGTCACCATGGAGCCAGAGGTTTTACAGGCCAGAGGAGGCCTCTGGTTCATCTGGTCTGGTCTCCTCCACATCCCCACTCATGTACTTTCACCCAGGCTCTCCAAGCCCACATTACGCATGTGAGGCCAGAGCAAAGGGGATGTACAGGGCCTGTATTTACAGAGAGGACAGTACGAGCTGTGCACATGCTCCCAGGTACTGCAGGTGCAGTGTGCCTTTACACTTTTATCCACACAGTGGCTTAGATCCGCTGGTCACTTAACAGCTCCAAAAAAGTGTCCCCCCTGCATATTTATTATTGATGAGCAATTATTTGATCTTCAATTGTATTGGATCATACTGATATAACTTCATACGTAGACCACAGAACTGGCAAAGATGCTAAGGCGCTTTTTTTAAATTTTTTTATTCGCTATAATAAATCAAAATAGAGAATGTAATCAGGCTTCCCTTCCCATGCAACTTCTGGCACAGTTTGTTCTTATCAGCACTGTAGTTTTTTAGTAATTGCAATAGGTTGGGACTCTTCCTGTTTTGCAATGTTTTTGTCTTATGAGCGTTCCAGTAAATAGCTGTACATGCATGAGCATGAAGGTCTGTGTACACAATTAAACCTGCATATTCAGCAGAATTTATTTTCTTACAGCACCTTGATAAAATATTTAAGCACAGAGAACTTCAACAGAAACTGGTGGATGCCAAGTTGGAGCAGTCTCAGGAAATGATGAAGGAAGCCGAGGAGCGACATCAGAAAGAAAAGGAATACGTACCTATCCTTCTAATCTGTCTTTTATCTAACTTTAGGCCAAAACCAGCCCTGCATGCTATTTCACTAATATATTGGTTCTTCAGGTCCGAGCTGGGATACGGTAGCAGAGACATTTTTATTGCTGCTGTCAATGCTCTATGTAAAGGAACAGCCCCTGAAAGGCTGCTTTCATTAGCATTTACAGTTTTTGAAGCAAACTGCAGAGCGGTAGGTTAGAGCACAGACGGCTCTAGCTAACTCACCGTTACTACACAGTTGATTTGTCGTGACGTTGGGTCGGGTGATGCCATTAGTTTTCAAACGGCTCTGATATTTGATACTCCACCTCTCCACATAATAAATGAGCACATTTAAACAATCAGAGAGGAGAACAAGAACATGGCATTAAAGTGAGATGGCTGAAGGCCGCTATTCCCCCAGGCTCAGAGCCTCCCCAGACGTCCCCCTGTGGGTCTGGTGTTGCCAGCGGAGGAGGCCTCAGGAGCTGCTTGCTGTGATGGACCCTCCCCTTCCCTTCTGGAGAGATTCCCCTCCCCACATTGGTCTGCCGGTGCCTCTTTCAGGCAGGAAGGGTCTGGGTCTGTTTAGCAGCCTCCTCTGCTGTTCCTCCCTGCCTGGCCGGGGGACACCTCTAGCAGGGGGACAGGGAAGAGCAGCTCCGGGCGGGATGTCCCCCTCAGGCACAGCTGGGACAGGAGGAGGGCACTCCTCCGTGGTCTCACGCATTTTGCAATTCAGTCAGACCAAAATTAATTTTCTCGGGCTGCCTGGTATTTTCACAGCAATCCTCACATCTACAAAGGATCGGAGTTCAACGCTGACACCTCGTCCCTCTTCTCAGTGGTGGCAGCAGCTGAGACTGCTCAGGCGGAGCGACATGCTCTCATCGGCTGGAAGAAAGCTTTAGTTTTCACCAGTCCTCCAGCTAACTCAGGAGCAGCACGAGAGAGCTCTAAAGAGAGGATATTTATCCCCTCCCCGTATCTGGAAACAGATACATTAGCACAAGCATGGCCAAAGTATCAAAAAATATGGATGAAAATGTGGGGCTCTAAGCCCTGTGGGTAGAGCACCAGGGAAACACAGCAAACACCTCTTACCAAAAATTGCCCATAAGAGCATTTATCCTCTTTCTCTGCACTGATCTTGTGGCTGGGACACCCACTCCTGCTCAGCTTTACTCCCAGCTAAAGACTGAAGGGGAAGAGGAGCTGGGGCTTCTCCATGTGCACATCTGCATGTCATTGCATGACAATTTGTGGTCCAGCTGAGTCCTCCCTTTCACTGACAGGCCTATGTAAAGCCAAACCCTCAAATTTCATTCATGACAGTTGATTCTTGGCAGATTAAAACCCCAGGAAACATTTCTAAGAAATCCCTTACTATGACAAAGCAAATTTGGGTTTACTTTACTGCAGTCACTGGGAGTTTTGCTACTGAGTACCAGATTCCAGATAGTGGGGGGGGAAAAAAAAAGATGTGAAAGACAGGGCATTGGCTCTGTGGAAAAGTGATATATATAGCCTTATATCAATAACCTTTCTTGCTGTGCCTCACAGAATATGAGTTTTGGGGCTGCCTGTTGGCTGTGACTGGCCCTGTTTCTAGCCAAACCTTCTTTGTGTATTTTATCCAGAACTGATATCCACAGTTTTGTTATTTTCATTTCTTTTAAAGCAGTGAAAGTCATCACCGTCTACATTTGGAAGTGGGAGATTTTTTTTGTGGCTTTGCTGCATGTATGACTAGCACCTATGAAATAACAGGTTCGAAAACAAGCTACAAAGCCTTTAAGTAGTGGGTGTATAATGAAATGCACCGTATGCAAAGAATATTTTTCACACTGTCCAAGCTAATGCTCAAAACCCCTACCTTTGAGGTATGGCTAACGTCACCTCAGAGCAAGGTAGATTCAGCTGAAGAACTTAAGTGACCAGCCAAAAGCCATGCACTGAGTCAAGGCATGATTAGCATGTCACAGCAGGTAGCCCAGCACCCAGAGAGCTGGCCTACACTTGTCTCCCACCTCAATCATATTGCTGAGCTCTTAGTCCCACGCACCCAGCTATTGTGCTAGAGTCTGTAGGAGTAATGGATATATATGTATGTATGAAATCAAGGTGGTTTTGATGGGAGTCCTCTCCTTTAGCTGTATCTCTCTCCAGCTCAGTAATGTGCAAAGTCAGAGCCTTATTGCATTTCAGCATCCTGTCATTTGAGGGAAATGCTTTCAGAACTATATGCCAATTCTCTCCATACCATTTTTTTACATCCCTGTGCATGACTTTTGCTGCAGGATTTTCAAAATGTCTTTAAATGAATTTTTTAGGTATTTTTTTATCTATTTGATTGCTCCTTGAAGGCTCACTTTGATGTCTTCCTATGCAGTTCTCCCATGTAGGAATCTTTGCCCCTATACAAAATTTCTTTACCTCAGACCAGGAGAGATGTCCCCTCCTGCAGCCTCTGTACATCACAGAGGCAGGTCATCTCATTGCTTGCACAATTCGCTCTACACGTGCAACTAAGAATGTGATTCCTTATATAAGGAACAATGGTTCATACTGTGTGGCTTTCCCAAAGGGTCAACTTTACCTAAGGATGCAATTTTACTATCATCCTATAACTGGTCAACACTACTTGGACTTCCTCCCCATACCATACATTTTTAGCACTTGTAATACAAACTTTGATGTGCAATTAATTGCAGTTTAAAGCCTCTGTGGCTTTCAAGTATATGACTGGAAGGTATTGATCAGATTTCTACATAATTGGAATTTGTAGAGTCTGGCAGCAAAACGGGAAGCTTAATTTTCACTAAGCCAGTCCCTAGATCCATGTCATTAAATGGGAATGTATGTTCTTGGGGACCGGCTCTTTCAGTCCTGAGCATGATGGGACTGTCTGGGCCTCCAGCAGCTATCATAGCTCTAATAATATAGTGTAACATCACCACACTTCACTGAAGTGCTGCTTTGTAAACACCACATGCAATATTTATTCATTTCTTTATACTTCAGCCTCCTTGTTACCACTTCATAGCCTATTAATAAATGTATCAGTTCTCCTGATTCGTTTTCTCCCAGCTTGGTGTTTGCAAATGACCTCAGGCTGCACAAGAGTGCGTGCTAATTTGAGCAAGCCTTTCTGTGGCTTGCTTCCATTACAGAAGAGTTTATTAACTCTTGGATCTTTACTGGCTGCAGAAGCTATGTGGGTCAATAAGAAAGAAGGATTTCATTAACAGGTGAAAGAAGCAACTTTTCTTTGCCTTCTCTGTCCATCTCTTGTGCTGTGGCAGAAGACATGGTGCGGGAGGTGGGACCTTTTCATTATCCCAGGAACACCAGGTACAAAGGTAACCCTAGCTGAGATTTAAGCAATACAGATAAAACCCCAGTTTTTGGAAGTAATGACTGGCCTAGAGACTGGGTATCTCTGAAGGTTTTCAAAGCACTTTTCATTAAATCATTCAAACCAGACACCCTATAATTCCTAACACACACCCCCAACCCCAAACAAGTAGATATCGAAGAAATGTGAAACTTAAAAATCCAGATTTCATCCAAACTTAAAAAACAATTAATTATTTTTGTGTGTATAAAACAAACCCTCTCCCAAGAAAACAAATGCATGAACTGAGGCTCATTTAACCTAGGCCTACTCATACCATCTCTTTTTACTGGCTATGACACAACCTATTTGAAATTTTAGCCAGCAAGATCTAAACTCAAGAATTTTACTTATCTCCATTGAACCAAATATCAAATTAAATTCTCAAAATAAATATTAAGAGGCAAGTATAAAACAAACAGAACATGGTATTTCTTCATACAATGCATACTTGAGCTGTAAAACATTCTTGTCTAGGAAACTGTAGATGGTAAAATTTCAGTGGGTCCAAATCAAAAGGCCAAATTGATGGAAGAAATACTTTTCTAATATATAGGCAACAAGTCTAATTCAGATAGTCTTTGTGCCACAAATAGCTAGAGACAGGGAGGGAATTCATTATGTTGTTCAGTCAGCATTTGCAGTGTACATCCTCAGCTCTTTTACCAGGTGGTATTCAAGTAGTTTACATGTGTTACTTCCAACAAAAGGCTTAGAATAAAAGGTTTTACTAGGGATCAAATAAATACATTTTCTGCATGTGGTTCTAGTCACCTTTCATTTCCAATATGAGAGTAGGATCTATTGACTTACACAGTACTTTTATTTTCAATATATTTTCAGAGCCCAACTGTGCTATTTTAAACAGTACAATTTAATCCAACAGAAGAAAGTCCTGTGGTAAACTAACTTGTTTATATCTCATTTCTCGAGCTATCATTAGCATTCTTTTTCTAAAATACATTTGGCCTAACCAGTAAAACTCTTTATAAAATGTTTGGTAGGCGATAGGCACATTTGTTTAACACTTCAGTAAATGTTTCCTGCTTTCAGATTAAACCAATTGCTAGAATATTACTACACACTTTGGAAGTGCTGACTCAGAACTGCAGCCTGGAAAAATGTCGGTACACCTCATTCCTACAATTCATTTAGCCTTGACCAACCCTCCCATCTGCAGCCTGCATGTCAGAATGTCAGTTTGCTGAATACATTGAAGTAGGGAATCACATCTCCCCAGGAGCAGCCAGGGATGAAACTGCAGTCAAGCTCTTCCTGGGCTGCCCTCTTGATCTAAGTGAGGCATTTATCACCCTGAGCTGGGATTCTCTGCTGATGGCATGTCAGTGCAAATGGAGCCCAAAGATAACAGACACCAGTAAACGTATGACGTTTACTATGCGTTCCCTTTCTGAAAGCGTGCAGATTTTTTGAGGCACGTCTGACTGTGACCATGCTAAGTCCTGATCATTAATGCAAAAGAGAGTTTGCCATTCACTGGAGAGCAGGAATTTGGCCGGAGCTGTGCTGAAATGAAAGTGCCAGGAAGTACCATAACCACTCTCTAGAAGTTGGGTGGAGATATGGTTAAATACCACACTTTTTAGAGCCCACTGTACTGCACACTTCATTCCAAGTAGGTTTTGAACTCCTATTCAAATATGCCTTTGCAAACCAAGTGCCCTGTCCCACGTCTCTGGATAGCACTAAATACTCTGTCTTGCCTAACTCCTCTAACTACATTCATCTGAAAGTTAGATCACTCCTTATCAAGGTAGCAGTGGCAGAAGCATAGGTAGCTGGAGGATGAGGCTTTCCAACTGATAAACTAGGGACCTAACAATTTTCTCTCTGTTGCCCAAAACACAGCTCCTGAACCAAGCTGCAGAGTGGAAGCTCCAGGCCAAAATGTTAAAGGAGCAAGAGACTGTCCTGCAGGCACAGGTGACGTAGGAGAGGTGATTGCATGGTGTGCCTTTGTTTCCCAGTTTTTAACCCATGAGGCACGTTCAGGTAAAGTATCCAAACTACTTTCTATGTATTCCTTCTAGCGTCATTCTACATCCCATAGACTATTGCAAAGGAAACAGGTTATTTTCAAGCCAGCTGTAAGGTAATGCCCATACGGCAAATCATACTGTCACATGTGAGTTGTTTAGTCTGGAGAAGAGAAGGCTCTGGGGAGACCTTATTGTGGCCTTTCCACATTTAAAGGGGGGCTTATAATAAAGATGGAGAGAGACTTTTTACCAGGGCCTGTAGTGATAGGGCAAGGGGTAACGGTTTTAAACTAAAAGAGGGTAGATTTAGATGAGATATAAGGAAGAAATTCTCTATTATGAGGGTGGAGAGACACTGGAACAGGTTGCCCAGAGAAGCTGTGGATGCCCCATCCCTGGAAGTGTTCAAGGCCAGGTTGGATGGGGCTCTGAGCAACCTGGTCTATTGGAAGATGTCCCTGCCCAAGGCAAGAGGGGTTGGACTAAATGACCTTTAAAGGTCCCTTCTGACCCAAACCATTCTATGATGCTATGATTTATGAGTGTTTACAATACGCAACCACACAACAATGTGGGTGCCTTGGCTTGATTATTCACCATAACTAGCCTTCAGGCAGGTTTCTAATCCAGCAAAGCACCGGAGTACATACATATCGTGAAACGTTTACCAAACTGGAGCTGATGTGCTCATGTGCTTTTCTGGACTGGAGTGTGAAGGCAGAGTTTTCATTAACTTCAGCAGGAATTCTGCCTACTAAGGGTTTATACAAAGAGGCCTCTAGGGTTTCAATATTCAGTTAGAATTTGAAACATTCAGTAAAATTAAATTACCTGCCAAAATTACATTACAAGTCAGGCTGGAGTGAAAGGCAGTAAAAACAAGAAACAGGCAGCATATACTACACCTTGAGAGCAATGCAGTAATCAACCTTGAATACAAGTGAGAACACCAGATGACATGCCGGACTTTCACATCAAAAAGAGACAGCATCAGTAGATTTTCCTAGAATTACAGATACAGTCATGCAGATTTATCTTCTTGGACCTGTCTGTGAGAATGGTCCCCCCCAGCAGAGCCTGGGGGGGGGGGGGGGGGGGGTCCTCCC